TGTTATGGAATCCCATCACCCCATCGTGTGAGGGAACTTGGATCCCTTCTACGCCTCACAATTGTGTTTTCCATCTGCATTTGTGTTGTCGTTGGGGGCACAAGACGCAGAGCTGCTGGCCGGGACTAGTGCATCTACTGATGTGAGTGGGATCAGGTTCTGGGGGCCACATGATCCCTATGGCTCCGAACTGCCCTTAGACTGGCATTTCTGAAGGGGAGTTTCTTACACAACGGCTCCACGTTCCTGGAGCGCATCAGGTCCATGCAGGCCTCGCGGGACGCGCTAGGTTGCAGGTTTATTCCGAGGTCCGCACGGGAGCAGGCTATGGCGGAACTGAGAAAGCTTCAACAGGGAAAACTGGCAGTAGAGCGTTACATTGAGAAATAGCAGTCCTTGGTGAACCGAAGTCCTATTGTGGATGCGGAGCCCCACTATACTTGGTTTATAGCGGGGCTGTCCCCCGGAGTGAGGCAAACAGTAACTGGCTGGGCCACGGACAGAGAAATGGGAGCGAAAAAGTGGAACTCGCTGACATGATGGAATACTTCTGCAGAATGGAAAGGAAAAACACCACATCCACAGCCTTAGCTAAAAGGAAGAAAGCTGGCCTGGGAATGATCCGGATTTGGAACCAATGGATATTGGGGCTGTGAACACCAAGCCAGCTAGACACGGGGCTGGGGGAGGCTACCGTCAGCAGAAAGCGATTTCACCACCCAGAAAGCAAGAGGGAGACTCTGAACGGCGTTCTTGCTTCTTTTTCAGTAAACCGGGTCGCCTATTTCGAGATTTCCGGCTTATGAAAAAGGCTAGAGAACAATTGAAACCAAATCCCGAGGAACGGCAGAATTGGGCAAAATTGAAGAAAGAGTTCTCAGTTGTACTCAATAACAAAGAGCTACCGGCGGGAAGGGCACCCGCTGGACGCCCTATGCACCGCATCGAACTCACCTCTGGCTCAGCCACAAGCTTCGTTCCAAGGTACAGAAGACCCCCACACCTTGAAGAAGAAATTGAGCGGCAGGCAGATGAACTTCTGAAAATTGGCAAGGTTCAGCCGTCAACTAGCGCCTTTGGGCACAATCCCGTGCTGGCGAAGAAAAAGGACTGCAGGCGGCGTATGTGCGTCGACTTCAAGCCCCCCAACAAGATTACACTGAAGCAGAAGCTTCCGATGCACAGGGTGGACGAAATCCTTGACCGCTTACAGGATTCAGCAGTCTTCTCAGCATTTGGCTTCGCCGAGGCCTTTTTGCAGATCCCTATTCACCCGGAGGACAGCCACAAGACGGCGTTCCACACCCGCACTCGCAAGCTGGAGTACACTTGTATGCTTTTTGGCCTCGTGCATGCACCTGCCGAACTGCGACGGCAAGTCAATCACGACTTCCTGGGGCCAATAGCCGAGGGATGGATGGTGATATACATGGATGATGTGCTTGTGTTCAGCCGAAATGTGCAGGAGCCCTTGCAGCACCTCCGGCAGGCGCTGCAACTACTACGTGAGAAGCAGTGATTCGTGAAAGCGCAAAAGTGTTCGTTTTTTATGTAAACAATCAGTTTATTAGGATTTCTTGTCTCTGCATCAGCGGTTGAACCAGATCCGGCTAAGATCGAGGCGATTCAGCGATGGCCGCTACCACTGTACACGCGGACGGACGTTCAGAAATTCCTCGGGCTCGCCTCATACTATCGCAATTTCATTCCTGGATTTGCTCGCATTGGTGGCATTCTAACTGACCTTCTTAAGAAGAAGAAGCAGTTTATTTGGACGGCAAACGAGGATGAAGCCACCCGACGCCTCATCGGGCACCTGACATCATCCCCCAGTACTCGCGCTCCCGGATTTTGATAAACCGTTTTTCCTTACGACCGATGCCAGTGGCACCGCAGTCGGGGGTATGCTCTCTCAGCAGGCTATTGGATCAAAAAAGCACCAAATAATCGCTTGCTACTCACACCGCTTCACCGAGAGGGCGCAAAAGTACCCGGTCAGGGAAAAGGAGCTTTAGGCGGTCTGGTGCGGCCTTAAAATGTGCCGGCATTACCTGTACGGCAGGCACGTCACGGTCTAGCCCGATCACCAATCATTGACACCTGGCGAAGAATTTTCAAGAATACGACAACGCAAGAGTTGTTCGTTGGCTTTCGCGGCTCACGCAGTATGACTGCACCGTCAAGCATATCAAGGATATCACAAACGTGGTCGCCGACGCACTCGCCAGACGCCCTACAGGTCAGGCACAATGTTCTGCAACCGCGCTTCTTTGTGATGATTCTCGCTTTATTTCCAAATTGCGTTCCTCTTATTCCTTAGATACTCATGCGGCTGCAGTCCTAGTTAAGCTCGACAACTGGCGACGGGTCAAGCGCTACAGCACCGATGGCAATCTCCTATGGTATCACACGAGGCGTGGTGTTCGTAGATTGTAAGTTCCAGCATCGCTTCGCACGGAACTTTTATGCAAAATGCATGACCATGCCTTAGCAGGTCATGGTGGGGTCAATACAACGGTGGAAAGTGTAACCAGGTCCTTCTGGTGGTTAAGGATGCGCCCCTCAATCGAGGAATACGTCCTCTCTCTTCCGGACTGCCAGAGGGAAAAGCCGCGAAGCACGCTCAAACCCGGATTCCTGCGCAGCCTGCCTATTCCCGATAGGATCTGGCCAGATATCTCCATGGACTTCATGGTGGGCTTACCACCCGTCGCAGGCCATGGGAGTATATACGTTGTGGTGGATCGGCTTAGCAAATATGCTCACTTTATTCCCTGCTTGAGCACGGCCACAGCAGAAGGAGTGGCTCGATCATTCATTAATAATGTGTAGAAGCTCGACGGGCTCCCAAAAAGCATCATTACCGACAGGGATCCGAAGTTCGTTAGTGCCTTCTAACGCAGCCCCATACAACGGCTCAAGATTGACCACAACACGACCACCGCCAACCATCTGGAGGCAGACGGCCAGAGGGAAGGAACCAACAGCATGCTGCTGAAGTATTTGCAACTTTACACCCAACAGAACTCCTGTAGCTGGCTTGATTTTCTCGCTTGTGCAGAATGGGTTTATAACAGTACAGTGCATTCGTCCACTCGCTGCTCCCCGGCGTCCCTGGTCTACACCGAAACTCTACTCGCTGATCCGCCGCTCGACCTCGCTGTTAGAAGCCAGCTCCGATCGACTGCGGCTTTTGACTTCCGCACAGAGCTTGCAACAGCGAGAGAATGCATGCGAAAAGCACAGGAACGCCAAGCCAGAAACTACGACAAAAGACTTTCCCCAGTTAGTTTCAACACGGGCGACTTGGTTCTAGTGGATTCGCACGACCTCCATAGCGCGCAGGACGGCGAGCAACCCAAAACTTTCGCCACACGATTTGTTGGACCGTTTGCAGTCTGCTCTCGGGTCACCGCGTTGGCGTACATCATCGATTTACCCTCAACGTGGAGATGCCACCACACTATTGACGTTAGTTTCTTAAGACGGTTCCGGGAATCCTCGCGTTTCTTTCGCACTCTAGAGAGGAAAACGCAGCGACGTCTTCGCGAGCTTCCCCGCCTCGAGGACAGAGATTCTCGAGGAGCGGGTTAACGCCCGCTGAGGCCATCGGAAACGCGAATACTACGTCAAATGGCCAGGCACACGTGATCCTGAGTGGGTTTCGGAGGATCGCTTACGGGAAACGATCCCACCAGAACAGCTACATGTGAGAATCTCTCCTTCAGAAGCACCAGTGTAAGGGGAGTTCGGGGCCTTATGGATCATGTGACCCTCAGAACCTGATCCCATTCACATCAGTAGATGCACTAGTCTCGGCCAGCAGCTCTGCGTCTTGGGCCCCCAACGACAACACAAAAGCAGATGAAAAACACAATTGTGAGGCGTAGAAGGGATCCAAGTTCCCTCACACGATGGGGTGATGGGATT